CCTGGGCAAATTGGGATTACAGATGTGCCCCCCATCCAAACAGACTGGTGTCTGTGGTCAAGGTTACCCGAGTCGGTTCTCTGAACAGGGATCCTTTGGACAGTGCTGGGATAACCACCAGATGAGGGATGTGAGTGTCTGTGGTGGGACTCGCACCCTCTGTGGAAAACATGCTACACCCCGTTTCTGGTAAGGGAGTAGAAACCACTGTAGTTGTCTCGTATGAAGCCTGGCCCAAGGCACTATGGCAATACATGAGATCAGTTTCCCTAACAGCTGTGACAGTAGGAGCAGGGTTACATGTTTCTCCTTGCGCACCCTGGTGACCATCGTACGTATGCTGAGCTGACGCTCCTGAGACAGGAAAACTCGGCACTGGCTGGTGTCTATTATTGTGCCTAGGTGGAGCAAACGGTTTGTTGGGATCAGATGGCTCTTTGGGAAGTTGATCATAAATCCATGATCCTGGAGTGTCTTGATCGTCAGTGCCACGTCTGAACGGGCATTCAGTGCCGAGGACGATTGGATTAGGATATCGTCCAAGTAGCACTGAACGCGGACTGGTACCAACCTGAGCTGTGCAGCGAGAACCGCCAGGATTTTGGTGAAAACCCTTGGAGCTGATGATAGGCCGAATGGAAGGGCCCTGTACTGATAGTGATGGTTGGAATACCTGAATCTGAGGAAACGCCTGTGATTTGGATGTATGGGAATGTGCAGGTAAGCTTCTGTCAGATCTATGGATGTAAGAAAATCCCCCGGCCGAATACTGCCCAGAATAGAATGAAGAGTTTGCATCTTGAATTTTTGGTAAATTAGGTACCGATTTAGAGCCTTGAGGTCTAGGATCGCCCTCCATCCTCCTGAGAGTTTTGGTACCACCAACAGGATGGAGTAGAAACCCAGTCCCCATTGATCTGGGGGTACCCGCTCTATTGCCTCTATGCTTAACAGATGACAAATGGCCTCCTCCATGAGACCTTGTTTCACGGGACTTCTGGATAGGGGGCAGGAGATGAAGCGCCGAGGGGGGAGTGTGAGGAACTCCAGAGACAGTCCGTCTCTGATAGTGGTTAGAATCCAATTGTCCGTGGTGGTAGTTTCCCATTTGTGGAAATATAGTGCCAGTCTTCCGCCAATGGGAGGAATCCACCTCAAGTCACTTTGACTTTCGGAAAGGACGAGCTCCTCTGCCAGGCAGGGGCCTCTTAGCCTGGAATTGTGGCTTTGGCTTGTCTCTGTAGCCGGACCGGTCCGATGAGCGGTCCGGCCCTGCTTGAAAGGGCCGATACCCGCTCCATGTAGTTCGGTCTGAGCCAGACTTGAATGACGGACGCTGGTTGTATGGAGAAAAATGTCTGCCCGTTTTTTTGACAACATGAGCTAGTACTTTCAACTTTTCTTTGTTTTTAGTCAGGTAAGGAATGAGAGCCTCTCCAAAAAGGCGACCTTTTTGATATGGTGCCGCAGCTACTCTCCATTTGTGCCTGGTATCGGCCTTCCAATTTTTTAGCCAGAACTAAAGCTATGGCCCGAGCCGAATATTTGGCCGACTGCAGAGACACATCTGCCATGTATTCCAGTGCGGCCCTTAGTTTAGTGACATCCTGGTGAACCCTTACCTCATCTGGGGATAATCTGGCCTGTAATTCCCTGAGCCAGATTAATGCAATTCTAGCGAAAAAGGAGTTAGATGTTGAGGCTCTTATAGCCCAAGCTGATGCCTGATGGGTCCTTTTGAGGGAAATCTCAGACTTCTTGTCCTCAGCCTTAAGGGCCTCCGACATATCTCCTGGGATTTTGGTGTCTGACAGTATGGGGGCGAGAGCCTCGTCTACACTCGGAACTTCGAGGACATCGTTGAGGGAAGGGACCGTATCTAAGAGCTTACGATCTAATCCCCCAAGAGCAGAGAAACTTCCAGGAGATCCCCACTGATCCTGAATGGATTTGAGAAACATAGGGGGGCAAGGTATCTGTAGGTTCTTCTTGACCGGTTCCAGAAACAGTGGGTCAGAACTCTGTCCAGAGTCCTGATTGGTCGTCTGTGGTTTCACGGGTTCAATTTTTCCGGTGACATAGGCCTTTTGTAAAAGAGGATAGAAGGAATTTGGATTAAACACCCCTACCATAGGAGTGGCCTCCGCCTGAATGTCTTCCCCGTCTGACCACGTGCCTTCTTCCAGAATCTGAGCGGAAAAATCCAATATCTCGCTCCCTTCAGATTGAGGTGGAGAACCGTGATCTGAGATGACATACTCCCTGGGATGCCTAGTTTCCATGGGCGTAGGGGGGGTTGACGGTCCTTGGACTGGAATGGCCCTCCCTGAAGCCGCCATTGCCTGAGCCACCACCTGTGAGATCATGGCTTGGAGCTGGACAGTAAATGAAGGATGTTCGGGGCCCCAAAGACCCGTCGCCGTCGGCGTGAAAGATGCTGAAGGAATTGGGGGAGGGACGACTGTAGTAACCTCCCACTGAGATCCACAAGACACTGAGGAAGGTCCTGGCTCAGCAGCTGGAATTGAATCTTGGACCTGTAATCTCAATTCTCGGTCAAAGAGGGACAGATGGTCCCGTTCATATCCCAGCAAGGAACCCTGGTCCAGGGTCTGCTCAGGAGACCAAGCCTGTGTAAAAGGGGAAGGTCGATGCTCCCCTGATGTGGATGCAAGAGGAGGTGAGGGGATAAGCTGCGTCTCTCCTGTCTGCCGCTGGGCTTTGGAGAACTGTCGCTCCAGCGCCCTATGTCTGCTATCTGCTTGCTTGTCATCGGCCTTAGAGGTCCGTTTGACCTTGGCCTTAGCTTTTGCAGGTGTATCCAGACTGGATGGCTTGCGTTTTATATTTCCACTGGAGGTGGAAGCCTGTGAAACGGTGTTATCCGCCATATTGAAATAAACAATAGGAAATAAACAACAGGTGTTCACCAGGAGATCCCTGGATCTGGCCTGTACTGCAGTAGAAGAAAAGACAGGTTGTCACCAGGAGATCCCTGGATCAGTCCTGTTCTGCAGGAGAAGAAAGGGCAGATTTTCACCAGGAGATCCCTGGATCGGCCCTTGGTCTGCAGGAGAAAGGAAGGCCACGGCCCACCTGGGTGGTACAGGCCTGCACGAGGGTCTGTGAGGTCCGGCCCGCCGTTAAGCATGGAGTCACTACGCGATATAAGCCGCACTACGCTCAGGGGCTGTCCTCCCCATTCAATTTTTCAGGCCCACTGTAATAGACACAATTTGGCCAAAAAAGTATCAATTAAAGATAAGTCTATATATGAATATAGATATATATCTTGTTTAATTTAATTCTGTTTTATTTTAATTGATTTTTTTAATTTATTTTTTATCTTATTTTTTTTGACCCTCGTGTCTCACTTAGTGACGGCTAGGACAGTAAGTGCCGACCACTATGCAGACAGCGGAAAACAGGCAAGGCAAGCAGCCGTCCAATCTGTTGGCACTGGATATTTAAAAGGTACTGGTAAGTCACAGTCTGGAATATTACCAGATAAAATGGAGTGAGAGACTCAAGGTATTTTCCCTATGTCTTTGCCTATTAAGCAGCTGAATGAAGATCTAAAGGAATGTAATTAGAACTCCTATTCCCCCCCCACCACTTAGGGAGAATCACCAAATAAGTAAGTTACTTCGTGACTGAAAAGGCTGTAATTAGGACAAAGCAGTCAATTTAATGTGTATGATCGGGTGGAGCCCAAAATGGCGGCCGGGACGATCTGATGAGAGATGAAACAAGCTGAGAGAAAAGATCCTCTCCTGCAAGTAATCTGGTAATAAGCTCTTTTAGTCAAACAGTTCACCTGCTGTTTTTGTTTTTTTTTTTTTGGATAATTTACAGCTGACAATCAACAGTAACAAGGAAGTACTTGAGTAGTGTGAAGATCGAGCCTTCTAGAGGCTCAAAATGGCACCCGCAGGTTGTTTGAATTGGTAATAAACCTAAGAAGGTGATTTCAGTTTTCAGCTGAAAATTAGTAGTTTAAAGCTTTGCATTCACAGCGAAGATCTTGGGAGGGGGTGGGGGAGGTGGATTATAATGAGGAAGCAGCAATCTACGATCAGCTGTCTGTCTCTGAAAAACTCACGGAGAAGGGAATTGATTAAGAGAGAAGAAATGGTGCAGCACTGAGCTCAGAGCTGAACCAATCCCCCCCCAAAGAAGGAAAAAAAGGATAGAGAAACCACGAATGGCAATAACTACCTTTCTGAATCTAAATTAGGAGCCAAATTCTCATGTCTCTTCAGGGCTGAGACCAAACGAAAACTGGGGCATGGTCAGACCCTGCAGAGGCGTGGCAACTTTGATTGTTTGGTCTGATTGGGCTAGAAGACTAAATCAACCCATCCTTGGAGTCTACATTCCTCTACATGCTGGAGAACAAGTGTTACATTTTCTCGTATTTTTTTTACAGAGTTTAGCTTTTTGTTTTCTGAAATTTGGACAAATTTATGGAAATTAATGGGTAAGAAAATAATTTATTTATTTTTTTAGTTTACATATGACAATTTTAAACTGGCTAAGCAACAAATATCCTACGCTAAGAAACAAGTGTTTCACAATAAATTAAAAATCAGCTAAAACATAAATAATACAATAAGGAGTACGGTAGGATCGTTGACATTAGAATTAAGTTAATTGTAAGCTTTGATTTAAACATTTACTTTTATGAACTTTGATGCTGACCTTCAGAAATTTAATTATAAATCTGTAGTTATCTCACAATTAGGTCCAAATAAGAACTGCAGGAGCCTTTTACATTCACTGCACGGGGAATATACTTGGCTGGCCTAATAACTGTTTACTATTCTAATTTTAATAGTTATTTTAATGGACATGAATACTGCAATTAAAGAAATTGAAAACTGATGTATTGGTATTTGTTAACTAAACACTTCTGCTGTTTGGTAGGTCCTTCTCAATAAGCGGCCTCATTAATCTACTTCAGCTTTGAGCTTCCTAATATTGTTTATTCTTTCTAATAGGTCAGATTGTAGCTGATGTAACTCCCAACTAGATATTGCTCCCTTCTACACAAGTGTAAGTCTGCAAAGGTCAGAAGTTAAGTTCAACATTTTGTTCAAGTATAGAGAGGTATAAATAGAGGGTAAAACGATCGTTCTGCATGAACAGGTGATGTGTGTTAGCCTTCTGAGGGCATTACGGATGGGATACACAAACCCACTCCATACTAGACTCACTAAAAGTTGATCAATATATGAATAAAAAACATATTAAAACAAAGTGAGGATATTAGAGCTTCACAGGTTTTATAGAACATTGTGTGACATAATACAAAATGTTATAAAACATTTTCTATGGTCAACTCCTGATATTTGACTATGCTATACAGTTCAACATAGGCTATTTTTAAGGCAGATACATCTCCCTAAAATAAAGGCAGATACTATCTCACTAAATTTTTAAGAACTTTACTGGTGTAGGCAGTACAATAGAAGTTCTGCCATTGCTGAAGGCATTGAGGAATCTGGTAAGGAAATAACTCTGAAAGGATGACCCAGTGACTCATGTCTTGTCTAGTTTCCATTCAGACTCAGATTGTAAATTTAAATATGTTTCTTTGCTTAAATATGTTTGTTTTTCCTTTCCTTTCCTTTCCTCCAAGGTTTTATGGTGCATTATGGCTGGAAGCAGGGAGATCATTTACAGGTAGTCCTTGACTTACAAGCACCATTGAGCCCAAAATTTCCACTGCTAAGCAAGTCAGCTGAGTTTTGCCCCAGTTGCACTACCTTTCTTGTCACAGTTGTTAAGTGAATCACTGCAATTGTTAATAACTCAGTGGTTAAGTGAATCTGGCTTCCCCACTGAATTTGATTGTCAGAAGGTCACAAAAGCTGATGATCACATGACTCCAGGATGCTGCAACCATCATAAATATGAACCAATTGTCAGGCATTTGAATTTTGATCACATGACCATGGGGGAGTGCTGCCACAGTCATGTGGAAAAAAGGTCTTAAGTCACCTTTTTCAGTGCTGTTATAACTTTGAACGGTCACTAAAGAATGGTTGTAAATTGAGGACTACACATATTGAGATGAAGCTTCCCTTTCCTCTTGCTTCTGCAACTGCAAGGAGCTTACCTGCATGGCTGCCATTTTCGCCATAATTTAAAGTGAATATGTAATGAGAATTCAGAGACAAGCAAATTATACAGAGATAGAAGAGATAGTGGGAGAGAAAAAATGTTACAGGATAAAATGAGACTTTTTGAAGACCTAAGATATACAGAAGGTGACATATTCTTTTCTTCATCTGCTTCATTCTATCTGTAGCTCAGGCCCCAATCAACACTTTTAGACATGATGTTCTTCAAAATTCTCCAGGAGCCATTCATTCTCCTTTCTCATTGTGCTTCTGCTATTCCGAAGTTCCTTGGAGACAAATACCAACTGTAAGCTATCATTCTGGTTTTAGGATCCAATTTGCTCTCTGGCTAGGGTAGCACTCTACTTCTATCTGAAGGAGAATGTGTGGAAGAAAAATCAAACAAAAGAAGCTGTTGATTTCCACGGTTATTGAATGCAAGAATGTGTCTGCACAAGAAAGAATGAAAAATACCATTTGAAGGCCAACTCAGTCTTGGGAGGGAAAATGAGTATAATAAGCCAGGAATTGGGAGGATGCACAACATCTAGTAGAAGAGATTTTATTAATCACTCAATATACTTAAGGGATTAAATCGTAATAATCTGTAATACAATCATAATTGTGCAATGTTTATAAATCAACCACATTCCAGTTTCTTAACTAAATGTGCATGCAAAGCTATACAAAATAGTACTGTTCAGTACAAAGTAGGCTTTTGGGGACATATCAGCGTGGTTTCAAATGCTTTCATTCAATAGCCGAAAAGATCGATCTGGAAACCTCATAAAGAGGAGACAGTGATAAGACAACTATGAGTGCTTTGTGAGATCAATTACTCATGCATTTATCTAAGTCTCCTTTCAAATCATCTAAGCCACTAACTGTCATCACATCATGAGCTCTGAATTCCATTTATCTGTCGTGCTTACTGGCAATAAATCAGATACTGGATTCATGTCCTATTTCAAAGGATTCCCTTAACCACAAAGGACTTGATGTAGTTGTTAGTAGAAACTGAGGTATGTTTACTGAAGCCAACTCTCTTTGCAGAAAGAAGATGGGGGAAATGGCCCATTCCTGCATCAACATCTGAGTGATTACATCAAGGTTTTTGATGGAGCAAGACTGGGCCTGTGTTTAGTCCAATCCAAACTTTTGTTTTAAAACACTGCTGTGGCACATATAAAGGCAACAGTGGGCGAGGGTGAGAACTTATTTGGCATTGTGCTACATGACTGACTGGAAACAAGAAAGTGAGAGAGTCCATGGGCTTCCTATTTGTAGAGCTAATGTAAAAGTAGACTCTTCATTACCTACACAGGAAGAAAAGCCATTTAAAGCAAAATCTTTTCTGCAGAAATGCGAGGAGCAAATGGAAAGTGTAAGCATTTTTTTAACTTCTACTCTGTACATTCTTGCACTAAATAATGACTTTTCAAGCATACTATTTGAATTATGTCAGAAAGCAGCCAATTCTGGCTGACTAAGAGAATTTCTACAAGAATGCAAGAGAGCTCTTTTTGTGTGTGTTTAAGTAAGCTACTTTTGTCCATTACCAGCTGCACACAAAATAGCTTTTATTGAAACAACCCTGTTACATAAAATAGCATTTTAGTAGGATTTAAAAAAACAATTATTGTAAGTCAAATAGGTAAGAAGTTGAGTGGATGACAACCATCATTTCCATATGACTGTGTGCTTCTCTCTCTCTCTCTCTCTCTCTCTCCCCGAAGTGCATATGTGTGTGTGTGTGTGTGTGTGTGTATGTGTGTGTATGTATATATATATATATATATATATATATATATACATACATATATATATATATATATATATATATATATATATATATATATATACAGTATATGCCAGCGTACAAGGCGACCCGGCAGTATTTCTGGCGTATAAGACGACCCGGCGTATAAGACGACCCCCGTCTTTGGCGCTGATTTTAACGCTTGTGGAAATCGCCTTATACGCCGGCATATACGGTATATGTGTGTGTGTGTGTGTGTGTGTGTGTGTGTGTGTGTATATATATATAATTACATTAAAAATTTGAATCCTGGGTAATGCCATGTAGTAAAAACAAATAAATACGAACACCAGAATAATATCAAACTAGGATTTGTTTAATAAAAATGCTGAGCTTTCGTCGGCTAGCACTGCCAACATCATCAATATGAGTTTCCTTTTATAACACCGGCCGGTTTTGCGCACGACTTTTGGACCTAGTCATCGGTCCATCTGGTGTCTCTGATTGTTTCATTCTTGAAAGGCACGTATTCGCTGTTCCCTTGATGGTTTTTAAAGCTGCAATTCCCTTATCAACTTTCTTTTCTCCAATCCCCTTCCTTGTGCACCCCCCCCGCTGTCTGTCATTGCACCACTAATTTCTAGGGCTGCTGTTCCCCCCTCTTTCCTTTTGCCCATCGCTTTCTTCGTATGCATCTGGATGATGGGGCAATCTATATGCTCTCTGTATATACTCCCTTGACTCGGCTGACAAAGAGGGGAGGAGAGCCTGTGGCCTGGTGGTTAGTATAACTGCCTAGCATGTAGATTGCCCAGGTTTGAATCCCATAAGGGAGTGTGGCTAGCTGATGAAGACAAATGAGTCCGAATTAGCTATACTAGTCTCCCATTTAAATCTTTAACTCTTGTCAGCAAAAAAGAAATCTGAATATAGACCAAGTTTGCGGTCTAGCTCTGTGTTCATGGTGTGTGTCCGTTTGCTTTGTGTGGGGGTCAGAGGGAGGTGCAGCAGTTGGTGATGTCATCGTGGTTTGGCTTCTGGATGGTGGTTGCATTTTGTCTGAGGGATGGGTTTGGGCTTGGGTTTGGGTCTGGTGAGGGTGAATGGTGGTGGCGTACTGTATTGTTCTGGGTCCGGAGTCAGTTTTCGTGGCTAGGATTCGTTTGTTGATTAGGGCTAGTTTCCAGATGTCTGGTAGGCAGGAGGTATCGTCATGTTTATTCATGTTGTGGGAGTGTTTCTCTATTTCGATGGCTTCCATAATTATTCTCTTGTTGTGGTGTTCAGTTTTGGAGATTAGTTTGGTTCCTTCAAAATCAATTTCATGTCCTGTAGCTTTAAGGTGCTGGAAGAGGGAGGCAAACTCGGAGCCAAACCAAAGCCTGGCATGTTACATCACAGCCTTCTGCTCTGGACATCACATCACAGAACTCAGGAGGTTACAACGCTAAAGCTCAGGATGTTACAACACAGCCAACCATCCAGGATGTTGCAACACAGAACTCAGGATATCACTACACTGGATCTCAGGATGTTACCACACAGCCCATTACCCAGGTCGTTACAACACAAAAGACTAATGGGCACACAGCCAGCACCTCAGCTACTCAGGATGTTACAAAACAGCTAAACAATCCGCAAACAATAACTCCAACACAGCCAACCAACCCACCTACAGCAACTAAGCCAGCCCTCCACACACCCCCAACAACATTTATATAGAGACGGCAGCTCCGATCATACTTTGCTCACACAAGCATGAAGCCGAAGACCCCAGCCTGAAGATGATGAGTGGGACCTCGTCGAAACATCGCCAAGATACTCTCAATCTTACACAGAAATATATATATATTTCTGGTCCAGAACTATCCAAAACTGAACACTTTAATAACAGAATAATCAGAGAAGCCATTGAGATAGAAAAGCGCCCACACAGCATGAATAAACAAGATGATACCTCCCACCTACCAGCCATTTGGAAACCTGCCCTTATTGACAAGCGAATCCCTAACACAAAGAATGACACCAGACCCACAGTCACGAAAACCACACAGGTTGTCATCACCACACATCCACGCAAAAAGCAAACCCAAACCCACACCGATGATGAGGCACGACCACAAACCAGAAGCCAGACCACAGCTGCATCATTAGCCACTTTAAACCCCTCCAATCCATACATGAAGCAAACTGACACCCACCATGAAGATGAGGCCCAATCACGAACACAAAGTCAAACAACAGCAATGCAGCTCACCATCTCAAATTCCCCTGCAACTCAGACTAACCTGAGCACAACAAAGCCCCCACCCAAACAGAACACTCCCCCCATCCAATTAGAGCACAGCCAAGCCCCTAACCAATCAGAACACACCTCCACCCAATCAGAACACAGCCAAGCTCCCACCCAATCAGTTCATACCCCACTGGCAGTTAAAAGGAAGAAACAGCTACAATCACACATAGCTCCTAGAAGCACAAAGCTGAAAACACCAGCCTGAAGATGACAAATGGGACTTCATCGAAACGTCGCCAAGACACTTCCAATTTTATGTGGGAGAAAACCCAAATAACCAAAGATAGATAGATAGATAGATAGATAGATAGATAGATAGATAGATAGATAGATAGATAGATAGATAGATATGCACTTCACATGCATGAATAGCTTGGTGCTTGGTGCACATTTCCTAACAGTTTAATTTCATAATGTATAGAAAATACAGATATATGGAAACTCACAAATAGTGCAATAACAAGCAAGTTTCTTGGCGTGACTTTTTATTGAAAATGAAAGGCATATACTTGAAGGGCTCCTAATGGGATCAAATATCTCCTGGCAATTCTAATTCGTTCTCCAGAAAACAGAAGTTTGCATTAGTCAAAGTTTAAAGATGCTCTCTCTTGCTCTCGCTATCTTTTTAAAACTTGTATGCTAATCCAATATTGTTTGTCATTTTCAAATACAATTGCTATTATTAAAATATTTACACTTACTACACATGTTGAAAGCCATGTATCTGAATATACGTAAGATTCTAAACTTTTGCTGGTAATCCTATAAGATTTGGGAAAAACTGAGTTTGTTAAGCAAAAGTAATCCTTTATATTATACCAATGTTATAATCTTTCTTAAGAGAAGCACACAACCTTGTATGCAAGAAGCTGATTATTTGTCTTTATCCCTGATCCTTTGTAGATACATGTATGTTGAACAACTACAATTATAGTTCTTTTTCTTTCTTTCTTTTTTTTCTGTAGCAGCAGGTATGTTACTCTGATACATGGAGTGGAAAATCTCTTAATTATCTAACTTGGTAGTAAAAATCCAAAATCAACAAATTAAATATTTAACCATGTGTCATTTCTTAAGTAACATTCAAAATGGATCTCCAGAAATGGTTTCCACTGTTTGCCTAATGACAAAACATTGATTTTCCTAAAGGCATGATGAGCTTTTCCAACAAAAGTTAGAAAAAGAGAAAAACAAAATGAAAAATATCAGGAGAGGAATGGATCTACATTTCTTTTCTTTTCTTTTCTTTTAAAAGTGCATTTTCTTCTAGTAGTGCAGGTTTTAAGCAACTAATTGTAGAATATAAAACATGACAGTGAAATGCTTTTATCCTTAAGCAAACTGAAAATAATTTCCCAAAAATTTTAAATGGAATTCAAATGCATGCCGTAGCCCCCGAATGTATTTTACAGAAAGTGGAATAGGTTGTTTGAAAGATATAATGGAAGTTCAAGGTGCATTTAAAGAGAAAATAGAGTTCTATTTTAGCTAAAATGGGTTTATAACTATGATGATAATAGCAATCCTTATTTTAACCCTGAGTGACTGCTTTGAATGATGAGTTCTCGGGAAAATCCTAAGTCCAGTTTTTCTTTCCATTCCTTTTCTCTCACTGTTTTGTTATAGAGCATTTTCCCTATTACTCCCTGCCATTCACTACTTTCACCGTTATATAGCAATTCTGTCTATCAGCATTTTACAAGAAGGAAAACTGTTAAATGATAGAGAGAGAGAGAGAGAGAGAGAGAGAGAGAGAGAGAGAGAGAGAGAGAGAGAGAGAGAGAGAGAGAGAGTTCAAATATGATCCGTTTTGCTTTTTTTCTTCTCCAGAAAGAGTTCATTTTTATTTATGTATTGCAAATATTTCTAAGTTGCAGCTTTTTCATTGTTGCAGCAAGAGATCACCAACCAATTTTAGATAATTAAAAACAGAAGGGATCTTTTGCAAATCATTCAAGAAGAGCCAGACTTCATATCCTTATAAATTTAAAGAAAGCAAGTGAATGGGATCACCATTACTCAAACACTTCTTCTAATATGTCACAACTGCGGAGTAGAGGCAAGGCTGTGAAAATTATTGCAAAACATAGACAGATGCATTACATGAGAGTATTCTAATTAGTAGGACTCCAGTATAATTAAGGGTGAAAATCAATGTTTCAAATTGCAGCATATATAAAGCAGCAACCCCAATGCAGCTGGCACATAGTAAAACTCAAGGCATTGCATTTTGCTCCAATTGATGTTTCTGACAGCAGATAGTTTTGTGGATAGTACATTGTAGTAGCGCAGTCTAGATCAGAGGTCCCCAAGCTTTTGGGCAGCAGGG